TCTGAATGTGACTGTATTTGGAGATAGGGTTTTTAAGAGGTGATTAGGTTAAAATAAGGCTGTTAGGGTGGCCCTAACCCAATCTCACTGGTGTCCTGATAAGAAGAGGGAACTTAGACACACAGAGAGACATCAGAGGTGCTCATACACAGAGAAAAGGCCATGTGAGGACAGAGAGAAAGATAATCATCTTCAAGCTAAGGAGAGAGGCCTCAGGAGAAATCAACCCTTCCAGCATCTTGATCTTGGAATTCCAATCTCCAGAACTGTAAGAAATATATTCCTATTGTTTATGCCATTCAGTCTGTGGTATTTTGTTATGACAGTCCTAGCAAACTAGTACAACATCCTTCCCCACATTGCAACTTTCTCCCATCTTTCTAAGAGCTCTGTCTTCTTTTCCTACCTACAGCTCATTTATATCTCATTCAGGGCAGGAGTGGGTGGGAGGGAAACTAGTTCCCTGGGTTCCCATATGCTCCAGTACCCTCCGCCCCCAACCAATTTTTTGGCTTATTCCTACTGGGAATTTTGAATCTTTTGTTTAAGAATCTAGAATCTTTGTTTCACTTGCTCAAATTGGGGTGATTAGAGGAAGACCAAAGAAACACGATGTTTGAACTTCCAGATCTCAAATAAATATGTCATATATCATCCTACCATAAATGTTTGTGCATCTGCTCATGTTCTTTTCTGGGGACAGTCCATAGCTCTGTTCAAATTCTCAAAGAGGTTTATGACCACAAAAATGTTAAGATTCACCACACTATTATGTTTGAAATATGATTCACTTTCAAATATAGGATTTATATACATTTTAGAAATGTAACTATTATATAAATGAGAGCAGAATGTTTATCTTCAATAAATGTAAATGGTATCACACTCATTTCCTATATTTAAAAAAAGTCTCTTAGTTAATTTGCCATGAAAAAAGAATCTGAAGTAAACTGTCTGAAATACTTGATTCCTTCCTCATGTTCATCCAGTCCTACGTGGAGAGATCATAAAATTGTAGCGCTACATCTACTGGGACAAGCCGTCTTAGAGCACCACCACCAGCAAGAGGCATTCCACCTCGCTCAATACTTAAACATGTATAAGCATTCACACACAGATGTCATTTCTCCTTATGTTTCTCCTCCCCGCCTCCTTCTGCCTTTGGTGCCAGTATTCATGGAACAACAAGGATTAAGAGATACTAGTGGTCAGAAATGACCTATACTCCTCCCCATGTTCTGGGAACTTTATCCTTTCCCTCCTGCCTCATCACATCACTACTAGCCACCTGGTTACCTTAGCAACTGCTATGAGAATGTAAGTTGACCTCCATCCTCTGGCTGTAGTTGTCTGGACTGGGGTTTGGCAACTGAACGAATCATGGTACTTCCTTGAGGATTTGGAACTGACCCATAGATTGTGACGTTCAAGAACTGTTAGTAACCATGAAACTTGGTGCACCTCAGAGAAGCAGAGAAAGTCAGTATGGGAGGGAGAGAAGGGGAGTGGGGAGAGAGAGAAAGAATGGAGCAGGTAGTGTAGTGGGAGAGAAGATAGAGATAAAGTCCTAATGGCATGTCCTGTTTCCAAGTTATCACTGACGCCCAGCTGCATTCCTGTTCTTGGGTTCCACAGACAGCCAGGTACCTTTACAATGGTTCCCCTCTTTTACTTAAGTTGGGTCAAATTTCTATTTCTAATAACATCTCCTGTTAATTTAAATACACACATCCACACACATGTGCACATGCAAGGGATGATCTTCATGTATGAATATCAAAGTTTAACTCTTCCAATATTAAGTTTTTAAAAATTGGGATGAAAACAATGACTTGATCTACAAAGTTAGCATTAATATAAATGAACAACTTTGTAAAACAAAAACTTATGTCAGAAGAGATTTTTAACAGTGAAGGATCACAAAAGTGTAGAGTACTCTTTGTGCCCTACCAATCTCACCTGAAATAAAAATCTCCAAGAACAATGAATCTATTCAATGAAAAAGTACGAGCTCCTTCACTCAAAAGGCTGGTGAGATGCCAGCCCTGCAGATCCTGGCTTGATTTTACTGCTTTAGACAGCAAGGTAACTACTGGGAATCACCTTTGACCTGTGGTCCTACAAAGATATTTCAAAAGGAAAGGAAAAATATTTTGTCCTTCATTGGCAAACGGAGTTATGTTTTAGGGGCACAAGCGGCTAAAAGTTCAAGGTTTGTAAAAGTGGATGTTGAGTGAGTTTAATATACCATAGAAGCATCTGAATCCTCTAGGCTTATTCAAGAAAAACACTGCTGAATAACTAAAAAAGGTAAATATCAGGCTGATTGATGGATTTTTAAAAGGCCATGTGGTACATGCATCTGATTTATTCTCTCTCTCTCACTCTCCCCTTCTCTCTCTCCAGAATTTAAACTTCCTATATGATGTGCATAGGTATGTCACATTTTCCTCAGCAGCCCTGTGAAAGGACTTGGTCAGCATGATCTATGCCTGGATTTTAATTATAAGGGGGACTTTATAAGTGTTCATTTCCATAAAGACAGTGGCCGCATCTATTTTACAACTCTTTCAGAAGGGATGCTTTAGTACTCGGGCACTGTGGCAGTCTTCATAAACACACACGCGCACACACACACACACATGCAGCTCCATTTAAAGTCAGAAGACAGATATGTTAAACATCTTGTCAATTTAGTGGCAAAGCTCTGGCACTCTGATGTTCTGGTATTCTTTCAATCTTTCTGTATTTTAACAAAAGGTTGAAACTGTTGCCCCATGAGAAAGTTGAATCGTCTTGTCAGTAGATCTCTACAAACAGGATTTATCCATTGCTTCAAGCCCCAAGTCTGACATAGGTGGTTTTTTTTTTTCCAAAATGGGTGTGTTCAGCACTGCCCCACGGAGAGAATCTAACCGTGGAATGGGCTCCTCAAGCTAGACCCACGTCCCCACAGGACCTGCATGGACTGTTCATCCCTCACTCTCCTTCTCTCCATCCAGCTCGCCTGTGGTGGTGCCTGAGTCGCCTGTGGTGGTGCCTGAGTGTAGCAAAAACAGCTTGAAGAGAAGGAAAGGGAAGGGCTGCTGGGACTAAGGGAGAAAATGGGCCAAGCACAGTTTCTGGCTCATAGTGTTTATTAATTCTTTCTATAAACATTTATTGAAACTACAGCATGTTACGCATTGTTCCAAGCTCTGAGGAAGAGTGATGGAAAAACAAAACAGAACACCAAAGTCTTTGCTCTCATCTGTAAAGCTTATAACCTAGCGGCAGTGATATGTTTGTGGAGTGGTGGATGCCTTGATGCGCGAAGTGACAGGAGGGGTGACAGCTAGGGGCAGCTACTACTTCCCACTTTGTGTAACTCTAAGTACTGACTCTAAGTTGACCAAATCGACTTCCCATCCTAACTTTGGGATTCCAGTCTCTCTACCTGGCAACTGTGACCCATGTGTACTGGCATTCTCACTTCATTTTATTTAAAATGTGAATTTAGGGCCAGCCCCATGGCTTAGAGGTTAAGTGCGCGCGCTCCGCTGCTGGCCCTCGGGGTTCGTATCCCGGGCGCGCACTGACACACCGCTTCTCCGGCCATGCTGAGGCCGCGGCCCACATACAGCAACTAGAAGGATGTGCAACTATGACATACAACTATCTACTGGGGCTTTGGGGGAGAAAATAAATAAATAAATAAATTAAATTAAATTCTTTAAAAAAAAAATGTGAATTTAAAGTGCCCTCTGGGAGAGGAAAGGCTGAAGGTGCCTGTGCCGACAGGCGCTTGGCATTACTAGCATTATCATTACCTTCGAGAAGCTCAGTCAAAAACCTCTCCAAGAGAACCGCCAGGTGGCACCTGTAAGGCGCAGATGGGGAGAGTCATTTGCCCCACACCCCACAGCCCGGAATAACCAGGCTGCGTGTCTTCCCTGTGGGCTTGTTGGCGAGGAAGTGGGGGAGTTTTAGCCTCCGTTCAGACTGCGTGATTACGTACCCTGTTTTCCTGACACCCCAAACACGCAGATCGCAGATCTGTCCCCACGCACCAGGGCTGCCAAAGGCATGTCACGCCTGTTGGGAGCAGCTCGGCCTTATTCCCCAGCCGCGACTTGAGGGCTGACGGTGGGTGGCCGTGGGCTGCCTTCAGCTGGAAGCCAAGCCAGTGCCCAGGTCTCCCCCCGCCAGACCTCTACCTCGGCCAAGGCGGAGGAGTGGCAAGAGAGACGGGTCCCAGGGTGGGGGCAGGCAGAAGTCTGGGGGAAGAACGGGGGACACCGCCTCCCATTCCCACCCGCCTCGATCTGGGCGGGCGCTGCCAGTGGCCCGGGTCTGGGGCGCCTCCTCCCGCGGGTTAGAGATCCCTGTGGTTTCTCCTGCCCCGGGTCGCCCCTCACCACCGCTCTGCAGCAGTGTTCCCACAGTCCAGGCTGGGCGACCGTCCCCGCTCGCAGAGGGGCCCAGCAGAGGGTCGGGGGTGCAAGGTGTCAGCACACGGAGCAAGCGTGTTTTGTTCATTTCGGGCTGGGCGGGGGGGAACCAACTCCACTCCATCAGTAGCGGGAAGCGAGCTGCGCCAGTTGCGCGACTGTCGCTGTCGCCGCTGCCTCTTTTCAGCCGCCGGTGACATTGGGAGGAGACCACTTGGAACGGCAGAGGAGGAGGAAGAGGAGCGGGGAGGGTGGAGGATGGGTAGGGGGAGAAAGTAGCGATTGTGCCAGGGGGCGTGTGAGCAGCCGGAGAGGCAGCGCGCTGGTGACAACTTCTCCGGGGTGCGCGCGGCGGGGCGGGCGGGC